AGGAATAAACTTGTTTCAGTTGATCAATCACTGAGGGCAAATGATAATTGGTGAGGCTGAGAATAAGCACATATTTTAAAAGGTTATTCAGGTCCTAACAGTATCCTGTAAAAGGAAAGAGACCGTGATTAAATGAGGCCTTTTCTTTCGCGGCTTCTGCTTATTGAATTTACCTTGTTTTCCAATTGTTTCAATATCTATACTGAGATATTAATATGCAAATGTTTTGAATTAGAATTGATTATTAATTAGTTCCAAGATTATTAATCACCTAAAAGGTCTTTAATCACTTGATGGCCCTATCTTAATACAAAACCCTAAATTTGGTGGGAAAAAAACTTTTTTTCGCTATAGAAGAATGTAGCAATCAGCTGAAGGTGTATAAAAATTAGACAAAGCTACTATTTAATAAAACAAGAGAAATGTCAAAATATAACCCTCAGTTGCTCATTAGAGGAGATGCTATAACCTGTGGCTGACATATTGCAATCTAGAACAGGTGGCTTCTCTCTCTCTTGCAACTTAATATTGCATGCAGTGCCGTGTGCCATAAAACTACAGTTCATTATATAGAAAATGTGACAGTTTCTTTCCCCTAAGGAAGACCTAAGATTATTCAAATCTGCAGTGTGAAATACCAAGGCCTGTCAACCAAAGTGCACAGAAAAGAAGCTCATTTAGCAGCAAGGTTGGTGACATATAAAAATAGCCAGTGGCTAAACTAGAAACAGGATGTCATTAAATAAAAAATAGCCCCAAACATCCCCCCCCCCAATTGCACACATTTCAAAGTCTTAACCTCTTGCAAATCACCAACTTCAGTGCAATTGTTCTTGGATATTAGATTATGCTCTGACCCATGTAGAGCAGCTTGACCTCTGTAGAACACTGAATGTAATCCAAAAAAATAACAATACGCAAAATATATGACTCCAGCTGCGTAAGTTACTTGGAGCTTTGATTTTTAATAACTTATGTCCTAGTCAGTGGCCTTTTTAGTGGTGGCTCCTCATTTGTGGAATGCATTCCCTCCATCACTAGTAACTTTCAAAATATATTTGAAAAAAATTCCTGTTTTCTGTATTTGGTGGCTGAAGAATACTACTCCCAGCAACAGCAAGATCATGGATAGAACTATGTTTTTAATTGTAATTGTTTTTCGGTTGTTTTCAACTGTAACTGGTTTTAGATGCTTTTAAACAATAATTTTTTTAAAGAATATTTTGTTACATTTTTAGAATGTTTCTACTTTGTTTTTAAATTGTGAATTTGTTTGCTGTCCTGGGCTCCTTGGGGAAGGAAGAGCAGGGTATAAATTCAGTAAATAAATAATATTGCTCTCAATTGGACTTAATCACAATTAAGTTCAGATGGACTGAGAGCAGGATGTAATTTAAAAATAAATAAATGGCAAAAGCAATCCAAAAAAGTAAGTACTATGTGATGTACATTGGAGCAAAACCTGTTAACTTAGCATGTTACTGTAACCATCTCTCTTTTTGAATTGCTGTGGCAAAAATCACCAGAACCATTCAAGAAGCCATTTCCTTGTAAGGCGTTTCAATGTATGACCATGCTCAGGTCAAAAATAGTGTTTTCAGTGTAGTGTATATTTCTATACTTCTCATTCAACTTCCCCTTCTGTTTTTGAAAATTGGGCCTACCTCCCATTTTTCTACTTGATTGGGGTAGTCTTCAAACACAAAGAACTTCCTTTAGTTTTCTCCTTTAGTTGTGCCCTTATTATACACAGCCATGTTAGACCCACAAATTTGAACACTTATAGAATACCAGAAAGTTGTGTGTGTGGTTTTTGGGTCAGCTGGAGCTGGAGAAAATTTACTTTGGCAAATGTGGTGTTGAAAGTAAACTTTGACTCACTAAAAATGACTTAAAGTAGGATGGCTGCATCTCAGCCAACGTTTTCTGCAACTCTCAACATATTTTCTTGGAAATAAGTAGAACTGTGAAATATCCCTGGTGCCTTATCATTTGGGTAGTGAAATAAAAAAAAGGAAGAAAGAAAATGAGTCGTTGGAACTTAATAATCTGTGATAAAATTTGATGTTAATTCCTTTTTTTAAAAAAAGTATTTGAAACTAAGTTTGCAATGCAGAACTTTATCATCTTGTCTCTCGCTTCACTGGGGATTTAAAAGGCACAACACACATCTCTAGGCTGAACCTTGACACCAGAGACAGCCCAAGATGTTTCGATGCTTGAGGCAGAAAATCCAAATGGAGCCCCTCACAGTGGTAAAAATACAAACCTAAATAATTGACAAATTTGCTATCCTTTAATGGCATGTCAAAATCTGCCACCTGAGGCAGACTGCCTCACTCTGCCTCCTGGTAGAACAGACTCTTTCAGACAACCCTCTGTGAAACAGAAGTACAAGTTGAGTTGATTCCAGCTCAACTTTCTTCCAAGTAGCAGAAGAATCCGAAGTCTTTTCTCTCATCCAGTCCAAGAATTTAGACTAGAGTTCCTGTAGTCTGGTTTACACGATTGGTGGATCATTCTGCGAGGAAGGGGGAAGCAAACAGAAAACATCTCTAGAACCTGGACTCGATGCAGCATTTAATGGAGAGCATGTGCGCATTGCAATATTCCAGCCTAATGTGAATGACTGAGAGCTTCATAATGATATGCAATTACTCCTGCACCCAGCAAATCCTTTATTCTAACTCCTTCTGACAATTAAACTCAGGCGTGCTATTTAAAAGCTAGTTGTTGAGGAAGAAGCCATTTCATTTTTCAGGATGTTCAGCGAGACTATGAAATACCCTTTCCCTTAGCTTGGAGCTAAATATTGATTTATTATACAGCTCCCAAGGTCTTCTCATCATCTTTTTTTTGCCCATTTGTGTATAAATGGCTGTCATACACACACAGAAGTACTTGCTTAGCCGCCCTTCTTCCACCTCTGCCCTTCAGTGGTCAGTTCATTTTAAATTGGACCACAAAACATTTGCTGACCCAGGGCACATAAATTATACCATTACTTAATGAAGTGTTGCAGAATTCACTCAAATAGAGACAGTCTTTCTTGGGATTGTGATTCTTCCCTGTGATTAAAGTGTTTCAGATAGCAGCATAGTTGAGGGTAGACAATATTAATTTACAGATGAGTCTTTGTGTCCAACACCACTCTGAAATCTAATGAGCTGATTCAAATTCATTTAGATCACTGGGGGCGGGGAGGGAGACACAAATTAAACAAAAAAAATTGTGGCGGGAATGCAGGGCAGAGGGGCTGCTTCCCTGTCATCCACAGCAGTCAGGTTTTGGTCTACACTTAATGTTTGTTCAGACAAGCACAGAGGGGTTCTGCCCCAGAAGTCAACTGAATTCAATGGGATTGATATGAAAGCTTATCGAATTGATTCTTTCTTCTTCTTTTTAGAAAAGTGAGTTGAGAGGTAGGATTATGCTGATGAAATTGTCAAAAGCCAATACAATGGTTGGGGGGGAGATTATAATATATGCCTACAAGGATCGTAACATTATGCAGATAAATTGGGGTATCTTGGGAACTGAAGTAAAAGAAATAAAAGAGAATTTAGTCGCACACAGACCCACTTTTGACACTCAAGAGCAGATTTGTGGGCTTAAAGAAGGTAGAGAGACATGTGCAAGCCCTGTCATGGCTGTATCAATATATTTTCAGAAAGTATTATTGGTTTCCAACATGAGTAATGGACCTTGAAGGCCTCCATTAGAGAAGGGGGTCCTGCTACTTCCTCTTCCACAAACAAGGTGAACATGAGCGCAACACCACTCTCCTACTTGCAGTTCCCAGCAACGGGTAATCAGAGGCCTACATATAGCCATCATGGCTTCTAGCCACCAAGAGACTTATCCTTCATGAATTTGTCTAAACCTCTTTGAAAGGCATTTGGGTTAGTGGTCTTCAGTCCATTAGGGTGGTGGTCTTCAGTCCACTTCTGGTTCATGTCACGTATGTATGTATTCATGCCTAACTCTGTTAAACACACACACACACAAAAGTCTGCACAAGAATTCATATTGAAATATTCATTTATACGCAGTGGGTGTTAAGAAACGTAAGAATAGCCCACTGGATCACGCCAATGGCTCATCTGCTCCAGCAATCTTCATCTCACAGATGTCTGTAGGAAACCCACAATGAACACAACAGCGCTCTCCCTTTCCACTGTTTCAAGAAACTTGTATTCAGAAGAACTATTGCCTCTCACTGTGGAGGCAGTGCATAGCCCATGGCCCTTGTGGCTAGTAGCCACTGACGAGCTGGAAAATCTGTGATATCGCTCAGTCTATGTGGTATCAGGCTTCCACATGTAACTGCAACGGTATGCAATGAAGTTGTAGAGAAACAGTTTCAGCACTGCTTGGGCAACTTATGAACGAGAACCTAAATGCATCCTCCTCCTTTTCACCATAACTTCAAAATGTACCTCAGGTTACATATGCTTCAGGTTACATACGCTTCAGGTTACAGACTCCGCTAACCCAGAAATAGTGCTTCAGGTTAAGAACTTTGCTTCAGGATGAGAACAGAAATCGTGCTCCAGCGGCATGGCGGCAGCAGGAGGCCCCATTAGCTAAAGTGGTGCTTCAGGTTAAGAACAGTTTCAGGTTAAGTATGGACCTCCAGAACGAATTAAGTACTTAACCTGAGGTACCACTGTACTAGCAAGTCTGCAACATAGGTATCTCAGTTTTGTCCTACAGAGTAATATTAGACCTTTCAATATTTTTCTTTGGTCACCAGCATTTTGTATCTGTAAATATCAGACCTGCAAGAAAGTGGGTTCTGTGTGGAGGGAATGGCGCTCTTCCCTCTCTAAAACCTGATGCCTAATAAATTCAATAGGTGTCACTTGTGTGGATGGGTCCAGATTCCTTGGCCGTCATTTGTCACCAAGGAGCAGTTTCGGGGCATTCCACAGTTGTATGCCAGCCTTTATTTCAGGCCTTATCGTCAGCGAACATTTCATGCTAAAAGAAATTAATTCCCTGCATCTGTCATTATGTGAACAATGCAAAAGCACTTGTTACAGAAGGCCATTACTCAGTACATTAGGCACCAATGTGACAGCTTTCTTCATCTCATACTTGCATGCAACAATAAGTAACCTCTCACCAGTACAAGTATTGTTTATTGGTCTCCCCACCCCAACTCCTGGCCCAAACTGTGTCAAAATTAATTTTACGAAGGCAAGGCATGGGTGCGATGTTCTCTTTTGTGAAATCTGTTATCTGTGCTAGCCTGTAAGCAGAAGTTAACATCACAGTTTAAAAGTTGGTATTCCCATTTATTTATTTGCTTATCTGAACAATAAGAGACAATACATTTCCCTTCCAAATTTCCAGCTTGGTGCCCTATTAATTTCTGCCTGTTCAGAGAAGCTCTGAACACTACTCAGAAAGAGGGGGTAGAATTCTCGACTGTACCGATTCTGATGGCAAATATAAAAATGTCTTTTTTATATGATATGTTACAGAGAGGACTATGTTAAAGCTTTCTCTCTGATATACTTGGGGATATGCCCTTTTTAAAAAAAATTGGGGGTGTCAACCACTTTTAACCTAGATGCAGTGACACAGTACATAATTTCACTACCACTGCCTACCATCAGATCTTCATAATGTGGAGCTGGGAAGCCTCCATTGCTGTTTCCTTGTCTTCTTGTGGTTCTGCCTTTCAGATTCACTGCCATTATCCTCTTAGTCCTATTTCCCCTCCCTTTCAGCTGTGTTTTCTCCATACACACCCTGCTTCATAACCCTCTTCTATACCTGAAGTACTTCTGGGAAGGAATCATGGCTGTTTAGACGTCTCCTGTCGAGACTCAATCAACAGAGATAATTAGGTGGTGATTAACGATGGCTACTGCCTATCATATTATTTCTGAGGAACAGAGACAACGGGGTTAATATCCAATGCTGTGGAAGGGCTACTCTTCTGCCGTGGAACTGAGAAATCTTCAAAGAACCCAGAGAGATGCCTGGACTTGAAGACTGGAAAAATCATCCAGCAGAAGGAGGAACAGCTACAATAGATGCCACCCTGGAGTGAACATCTGAATATTTTTGAAAAACTATTGGAAGCCCCTTTTTACTTATTTATTTCTCTTTCTTTTAAAAATTCCTTTATTATTTTCTTATTCCTTTAACATTTTTTTATCTCTGTTATCTTTTCTTTTCCTTTTTTTGCTTTGTTCTTGCTTCTGCTTTGCTCTGTTCTTTTGTATATTTTGTCGTCCTGTGCTCAGGGTTAATGAGGAGTTTGCATGCAGATGAAGGTGATGGATGGTTGGTGGAGGACCCTGTGTGAGAGGCAAGCAAGATCTCCCAGGGTGAGAAGCTGGGAGAAGAAATCAAAGCTCCTGTGTAGGAGCTGGGAGGGTTCATCTCTTTCTGTGTAACGCAACTTAAGGTCTACCTATGAGAGAGGACTTTGCATTCTTCTTTTTCTCCTTGTGTTTTTCTTTTGTTTAGATTAGGTTTATTTATCATAATGTGCTAGGAAAGGTCTTAATAAAATCTTAGTGGGGAAAAACAACCTTCTTCTACACCTGCATACATTTGAAACCCTAAAAAAGCCATGTTGAGAATTTTGAGAGACTGTTGAGAGCATTTCTCATGTAATGGATGCCATGCTGGGGTGGGTGGGTGGTATGACATTGCTCAAAATGGGTGCCATGGAGCTTGGCAAAAGATTAAAATGGATCTCATGGGAGGATGTGGCGCAAAATGACTGCTACACCTTAAAAATGAGACGGGACCACAATGGGGTGTGGGCATGCTTCCCAAAAGTCCCCCGACCCATCAATGGAATAAAGGCATCTGCACAAGCCATCGCTGAGAACCTCATCCACAAAGAGAAGCTCTTTGCACTTCTTTGTTCAAAACAGAAGGGAGGGAGAATGTTCCATCCTGGCATCCAATGCTGTGTGGGCATGTCTGAAGGATTATGTTGAATGTAGAAGAGACCAAGTTAGTGCAAGCAGGAATTGAGCAAGAAGAGCAAATAGTCTCTCATGCATTTGTGGATTTTTGATGGCATATAGGCTGAGACTTTTTTAGTTGTAATAAAAAAATTTAAGGTCTTATATATATAATAAATGTTCATAAATGTACCAACCAAGCATGTACATAGATATGTGAACCACATGTCTGGAGCAGCACAGGAAGACCGTCCTGAAACCATTTTGACTCCCAAACTGACCAAATGTTTTCTCTGCAAGGAGGGAGGGGGTGAGGGAACCTTCCCATTGTCTCAGGAACTGGGTAATCACCATCTGAAAGGAATGGCCATACTACCAGGAAAGGCAATCAGATAAGGCATTATCAGATAACCTGGCAGACAGGAAAAACAACATTCAAATTTCTATGATGTAGGTATGATGTTTGTGGGGGGTGGTCTTTGGTTTACACCCCTTCTGTGGTGTATGTATGATGTATGGAGGGGTGGCCTTGAGCTCCAGGGCAGGGAATTTAAAATGTCTGTATAAGGGCAGGCACACCTTTGTTCTGGGTCCTCTCTCCTGTGTGTGAGAGGAGAACCCTGTTGCAACAGCTATAATAAAGATCAGGCTTATTAGCTGCTTTGCTTCTCAATATTCTCTGGTTGGCCTCTGTTATTTTCTCCTACCGATGGAGAACCTACAAAGGATTCTATAAAGGGCTCTTGTATACCCCATAAGGGAATAAGGGCAGATTTTGTTTACAAAAAGCTGTAAGAGGCACCACATATGTGGTTCCTGCAGAGAGAGAAATACGAGCTGCAGTGACTGTGGGTGCTGAATTAAGGGGTGAGAAATTAAGATTTGGAGAGAGACTATATCATCACACACGAGCTACTTGCCCCCCAAATGTTGCCTTCTTCAAAGAGGACCACCTGGCAGGCATGGCTGCTGGATTTCCTTCAGATCTCCCAAAATATGGTGTCCAGATCTCTGAGCTGGTCATCTCCATTAATCAAGGAACTCCACGGAAACGGCTGGTAGGGCAGCTGCCTGTTACATTGCTGTTACTCTGCTGGTGGGGTGGTAGGGCCAATTTCCCCCTCCCTTGTCTAGGAGCTCCACACTGAAATGCAAAGACCAAGAAACAAAAAACAACAACAACAAAGTGTCTGTGTTCCAGGTGAAATTCAGCTGCTCAGCCCAGGCAGATCAAGACAGTTAATCTGGCCAGTCTCTCTTGTATTGATACTGTCAGCTTTGTAGTTGCAAAATTATGAGCCTGCCAGGTAAAAATTACGAGCTAGGCTTTAAAATTCAAGCCATTTGAAAACATAAATCTCTGAGGTCTTTCTATAGTCAATCCCTCCCCCCCCCCCCGTTGTTGTTTTGTAATATCTATTACCATGAAAGCAGTAGTGGCTCCCCCTTGTGGGCAAGTGAGAGTGTGCTGGGCTGTTTTTAAAATTGTACAAAAGAAAACTTTGTGTGTGTGTGTGTGTGTGTGTGTGTGAGAGAGAGAGAGAGAGAGAGAGAGAGAGAGAGAGAGAGAGAGATTACTGTTTGACTCAACACTGCACTACCATGGTATGGAAAGCTGTTTTTGCAGGAATTCCCTCTTTGGTTGTCACCAAAGACATCAGACTCACCTCCTCGCCTGCATTTCATCCCTGTCTCTTTCCAGCCTGACACTAAGTATATGTTTCTCTGGAAGTTAAATCCTACTGTGCTCAATTGGACGCTTCTCTGCATGCTTAGGCTGCAATTCCTAATTTCAGATTTTGCCAGGAATATGCCCCATTGCACACAGTGAGTAACCATGCATAGGACTGCAGTGTTAGAATTTTGTTCCTAAATGTGTATCATTTAAGCAGCTGCCATCTTTAACTCTGGGCAAGGGAGAGGGAAGAAATATACCTCCTGTTTTTAATTGTGTAAGACCCTTCCTAGTGTGAAATATGATCAGGAATGCCCTTGTTCACATTTTACATCGGCAGTTGGTAAACGACATCAAAGCTTTCCAAACTTTTCATGTTGGTGACACTTTTTAGACATGCATCATTTCGCAACACAGTAATTCAGTTTTACTAGCAAAACAGAGGTTAAACTAACCCCTTTCCAGCCCCTGGAGGAGTGCAGGGAGTGTTTGTATGACACACCTACACACTGCAGCCAACACATTAATGTGTCAAGACATACAATTTGGAAAGCTCTGAAGTACATGATCCTAACTGAGACATGATGTTTCAGCCTTAGCTCTCCTGTCTGCAATATGGGGATGAAAAGGCTGGCCAACTTTAAAGGGTTGTTGAAAGGATTTAGACAATAATAGGGACACAGGAAGCTGCCTTATGCCGGAGTCGGTTCCCTGGTCCATCTGACTCAGCTTTGACTACACTGACTGGCAGCAGAATGCCAGGATTTCATTCGGAAGTCCTAGTCCAAATTGGAGATGGCTAGGACCCAAACTGGTAGCTTTCGCAGGCACTACTACTGACCTCTCAGTAGGCATTAGGGGAACAATTTGCATTTAAAGGCCAAGCTCTATCATATTCAAACTTTCTGATATAATACTTGAAGGGAAACACAGTCTCAGAAGAGAGCCCGTCCCCATAAACTGTTAACAATATTATCTAGACGCTGAATGCTTATTCAGACAACCCTAGATATGTCTACTCAACAGTATGTATTCAGTAGGACTCACTCCTAGCAAAATTGCTATAGGATTGTGTAGCCTAAGTATATTAGATGTCGAAGCATTTTAAAACTTTTTAGTCTCCTTGTTTTTACAGATGTATTTGAAACTCTAAACGCGAAAAAAACCCAAAACCTGCCTGTGGCTTTTCTGTTTAGCATGGGTTTTCTTGCCTGTCCTGTTTCCTTTATCTAGATCTTCAATCACTCTGAAATATCCTAGATTCCCTCTAAGGGCTACACCAATGCCCCTCAAATCTCCCAGTCTTGTTTTCAAAGAAAGATGCCTAAGGGTTTCTAAGTGATTTTTCACACACTCTGGCTTAACATCTGAGTTATGTTCCCTCCCCCCTTTTCTTTTCTTTTCTTTCTTTTTTAAAAAATATGCCCTTTGTTTGTGCTTTTCTTCTTCACTCCCAGTCTGATATTCAGAGCGAAAGAAAACAAGGTTTTCAAACCTGTTCTCCTCAGGATTTTTTTTTAAAAAACCCATTGTGTGCAAGCCGGTTCCATATACGTAATATAAAACATAGGAAATACTTGACTAAAAAGCAGATGGATCTCTGAAGCGCAAAAGGTGCAGTAACATAAAAAGGGGGTCAGAGAAAGGAATGTTTTCCATTAGAGCTGCTTATTGAGGTCTTTCCAGTGGAGATGAAGGCAGGAGATTCAGGACAGTTGTGCTATGAAAATTGCTGTCTCAGGATCTGAGGAAAGCCATCTACTAAAAACGAAGATCATGGCCACTGGTCCCATCACCTCCTTGCAAATAGAAGGGGAAGAAATGGAGGCAGTGAGAGATTTTACTTTCTTGGGTTCCATGATCACTGCAGATGGTGACAACAGTCACGAAATTAAAAGACGCCTGCTTCTTGGGAGAAAAGCAATGACTAACCTAGACAGCATCTTAAAAAGCAGAGACATCACCTTGGCAACAAAGGTCCGTATTGTTAAAGCTATGGTTTCCCCAGTAGTGATGTATGGAAGTGAGAGCTGGACCATAAAGAAGGCTGATCGCCGAAGAATTGATGCTTTTGAATTATGGTGCTGGAGGAGACTCTTGAGAGTCCCATGGACTGCAAGAAGATCAAACCTATCCATTCTGAAGGAAATCAGCCCTGAGTGCTCACTGGAAGGACAGATCCTGAAGCTGAGCCTCCAATACTTTGGCCACCTCATGAGAAGAGAAGGTTCCCTGGAAAAGACCCTGATGTTGGGAAAGATTGAGGGCAGAAGGAGCAGGGGATGACAGAGGACGAGATGATTGGACAGTGTTCTTGAAGCTACCAGCATGAGTTTGACCAAACTGCTGGAGGCAGTGGAAGACAGTGCCTGGCATGCTCTGGTCCATGGGGTCATGAAGAGTCGGACACAACTAAACGACTAAACAAGAACAACAACAAGAGAAATTCATTTAGAACAGTAGCCACTACAAAAAGCCACTAGTCATGATGGCTGCATGCTGCTTTGGGGATGAGATCTGCGTGCCTGTCAATCAGGAACAACAGCAGGAGGGGACTTCTACCTTCATGTCTGAATTGTGGACTTACCAGAGTCTTCTGATTGGCTAAACAGAATGACAGACTAGATAGGCCTTTGCTCTAATGCAGCAAAACATTGCGGAGCATTATCCAGAGGCTTTAAAGAAGACTACAGAGCTGGACACTCATGTAGACATAATGTATGAAGTGTTGCTGCCGTTTAGAAAATGTGAACTCTTGGGTTGTGGTTGGGGAACGGACTCCCCAAAATTCTCCATCCCATTTATGGGGAGGGGCAGGATTTGTCAAATATTCTTTGAGGGGAGGAAGAATTCTCGAACAGTTTTAGGCTGGCTGAGGGGAAAAATGTTTCCCACAAAATTAAAAAAGCTCTATTGTTTTGGTGGAAGAAGGAAGCCACATGTCATGGACATCAGAGATAGTGCAGCCCCAGAAATCAACGTTCTGGTGCCTACTGCATCATTTCACTTAGTTTGAAACGAACCCTTCAAGTTCTTGCTACCTGAAAAGCTTGGTATTAATCTTTGCTTCATGATCGTGTTGTTGCTTATGATCTCGTAGAAATATTGAAAAAGAATAAAAGTATTAGTTGTACTCACTCTCATATTAAATTTGAGATAGCTAACCTTTCACCGAGACGCCCATGGTCCCTGTCTGCCAGTGCAACTAGGTTCATCTTCTTCAATCCTATCTCCAGAGCAGTAAAGAAAGACCTTAAGAGACGGGTTAAGCTAGTATTATTAATATTACTGGGCAACATGCTATGATGAAGACATAGTGAAAATATCTTTGGAGCTTTAGGAAATGCTGGCATGTAATCGAGGCAGTTCATTATTTAAGAATAACCAAGAAACAAGAAAGGATTGTTCCTAAATTTAATATTATTAAATTAATATTATTACCAGGGAAGAGACATAAAAATGAAACAAATACTGAGCTTACAAACTAATCTATTATTAAAAGGGTTATTCAGAGGCCCTTTGAAGTTAGATGTTGCCAGCAAAGCACTTGAGTTTAAGGGTATAACTTAGACTAAAATTGTGCAAGTTCCTCCATCTCTGAGTCTCCCTGACTTTGTGTCAGGAGACCTTCTCTTTCCTCCAATGGGACAGCTCAGAGAAATCACTGAGTAAGATCCTTCACTCGAAATTTAGCTCCAGGCCTTTATAGCTTCTTAGAAAGCTTTTGAGAGGTGCTTGTGCTTATGGCAACAACCAGTATTGCCCTTCTTCTCTGCATCCTATTCTCTCATACCATACCTTGTTATGGCATGCATAGTATTTGCCATTTTGAAGTAAATTTGTTTTCAGAAATATCTTTCTTTTAAGTAACCTGATCCGTGTTTTAGGCGGCAATCCTAACCCCCGACTGGCACCGGTGGGGATTGATGGAGCGGTAGAGGCAGGGCCACATCCACTGCCCTGCCACTGCACTGGCCAGGGTGGAAGGTGGATGCAGAAATAATGCCCCCTTTGGTGTCCCAGCTCCCAGGCTAGTACGGTGGACTGCATTGTGCCTGCAGTTGTCACATGATGGCAGCAGGACCGGCTCAGGATCCAGAGGACCCTGTGTCAGCCCAGCCCCCTCCTTGCCCCTGAAATGTCTGATTCTGGAAGCTTCTGCTGGCTGCCGCCAGTGGCAAAACTACCAGTTGCAGCTTCCTCCATCTGCCATTAGATGCCTAGGGGTTTTCTTCATGGGTGAAGCTCTCCCACCAATGACAGAGCTTCCCTGCTGACAGAAGCTGGTGTGGCGTTCGTACGGAGCCCCCGGTCGTCTCATGGACTATTGACCCGTACACCACTAATTCGCTGCCACCAACCAGGCCCTCTCCGGTAAGTCAGGTTCTCAAGTTAAGAAAGAAGAGTGTAGTTTATTGCAGACACAAACAAACTTCAGCTGCATTCCTGTGATGGCCTGGGAATCTGATTCAGAATCTGAACCTGAGGAGTCCCAGCCTGCACAGGAGTCCCCGCCTCCAGGGCCGGCTGAGCCGGGGCAGGGGCTTGAATCTGAAGGGCCTGCACTTGTGCCAGATCCTCAGGAGCAGACACCAGATGTATCAACTCTGGCTCCGGAGGTGATTGAGAGCCCATTGCCTGCAGGTGCGCCTCTCCCAGCACTGTCAGGGGAAGGTGAAGCTGCCCCTGGGTCCAATAACCCTCCAGCCTCTCCTGAGCTGCAGAGACTCAGGGCAGAGAGGCGGAGGGAACTAAGTTCTCTCAGGAGGAGTGCTTGCATTAAGGCCAGGAGAGGCGGGTCACCTGTGGGCCGGCACCGCCCCTGGCCTCAGAGGAAATAAAGGCCAGTCAGCCCAGTCCCAGGTTGCGGGAGCAACGTCGTTGGAAACCTGTTTCTGCCAGCACCCAGACCTGTTCTTCCAGAGTTCCCGTCCACGCCCGGCTTCTTGCTTTGGATCCCGCTTCCCCCCCTCCAGACCCTCGACCCAGGACCGGACTCTGACCACGCCTCACGGTAACCTCCCCCCGGGACCAGCACAATTCCAAACGTTGTTACTCTTTACCTCCTTAGTCTTATTTTATCCTGTCTTTATCTCTTCTACCTCCCCTCACACAAGAACCAACTACACTAACTGTCTCTCTATTTCCAACTGCCTGCCAACTGCTTTTCCAACTGCCTTTCCCAACCAACCAACCCACTAAAACCAACCAACTACCCACACCCAAACCTCAGGCTAAGCCCTTTTATAAACAGGTAAGCTCCACCTCCGACTTTCCTATTGGTCTACATTTTAACCCTTTCTCTCTCCACTGTACAGACATTTTCAAACAAACGGGCAAACGTCACAGCTGGACACAGGGATACTCATCTGCTCCACCCGAACCCCTTTCCCCATGGCTTATTGGCGGGGGGGGGGGAGTGATTTGGGCTGCTCTGCCGAGGCCTGTACAATACCTGTTGGAATTTCCAGAAAATGCAGGTATATGATCTTCATGGAGAATCTAACACATTCTGTTTTAACACAAGGAACCCAGAGTTTACTTAACAGCTGGGATTTGATAACTTACCTGTGAGAAGCATACCGTGATAAATGGGCTAAGAGAAAAGAACTGGAAGAAGCCAATTGTTTCCTTCAAATAATATTTAAATAATAAATGATAATAATAATAATAAAAGGTATGTATAGTTAAAGCCATGGTTTTCCCAGTAGTGATATATGGAAGTGAAAACTGGACTATAAAGAAGGCTGATCGCCAAAGAATTGATGCTTTTGAATTATGGTGCTGGAGGAGACTCTTGAGAGTCCCATGGACTGCAAGAAGATCAAACCTCTCCATTCTTAAGGAAATCAGCCCTGAATGCTCACTGGAAGGACAGATTGTGAAGCTGAGGCTTCAATACTTTGGCCACCTCATGAGAAGAGAAGACTCCCTGGAAAAGACCCTGATGTTGGGAAAGATGGAGGGCACAAGGAGAAGGGGATGACAGAGGACGAGATGGTTGGACAGTATTCTTGAAGCTACCAACATAAGTCTGACAAAACTGCGGGAGGCAGTGGAAGACAGGAGTGCCTGGCGTGCTCTGGTCCATGGGGTCACGAAGAGTCGGACACGACTAAACGACTAAACAAAAGCAAAATAAAATAAAATAATAATTGTAAGTGGATAAACAGCCAAATGATTTTATTCATGGGCAGAAAAAAAGAGCCCCCCAAATAATAATTTCAAAGATTTCTCAGTAAATTCTTCTTGGAGACGTTTCATCCCAGCCTTCTCAATTATTGCAGTTGCGCCCCCTCGCCTCCTCCTATCAACTTTATTTGCTGCCACTAGCAGAGGGAGCAGAAATCACAATGCAATGTTGCCTCATCACTTTTTCAAAAATCACTGTTGCAGAGGGAGTGAGGAGGAAGCCATTATGTCTTCGGGTGCATCTAATTCTGAGGATGTCCACATAACGAAAAACTCATTCTGCTGTCTGTCACGGAGACCTTGGCATAACTTTATGGAGCGTACAGGAAACTCTCAGATGCGAGAGAAGACTGCATGACAAAACTGATCAATGTTTGGAAGACTAAAATCACAGGCAGAAGGCACTTGGACAAATAGGTCAACATAGCTGCACTCAGTTGCTTTCTTTGGAAACTGCATGATGGTCTCACCCGGCACATGTTAGAAGCAGGACATTGTGCTCAGGATACAAATAGATATACACCATGTTCTATGCATGCACTTTGGATTCCAGAGCTCTGGTTTTTTGCAGCTCCTTACATATCTCACTCCTGCCAACCTAGCAGTTCGAAAGCACGTCAAAGTGCAAGTAGATAAGTAGGTACTGCTCCAGCGGGAAGGTAAACGGCGTTTCCGTGCGCTGCTCTGGTTCACCAGAAGCGGCTTAGTCATGCTGGCCACATGACCCGGAAGCTGTACGCCGGCTCCCTCTGCCAGTAAAGCGAGATGAGCACCGCAACCCCAGAGTTGGCCACGACTGGACCTAATGGTAAGGAGTCCCTTTACCTTTACCTTTTTATATCTCACAAGCTTCTCATGAAGGTTTGGGAAGGGGTGTTACAGAGTAGGATTTAATGTGACATGAAGGGCTGTATTCAGAAAAGGAAATCGACAACCCCTTCCATGAATGTCTGGATGCTCTTAGACTGACCACTGAATCTCAATATCTCTCTCTCTCTCTCTCTCTCTCTCTCTCTCTCACACACACACACACACACACACACACATACATTTTTGGCCCATCTCTCTCTCTCTCTCTCTCTCTCTCTCTCTCTAACCAACAAATTGGAGCAGCATGGCTATATCACTGGCATTGTACACATAAGTAGATTGGTAACATTTAAAAGGCATCTATATTCAACATTTATTGTTGTTGTTGTTGTTGTTGTTGTTGTTGTTGTTATTTCTACCCCACCCACCTGGGCACTCTGGGCAGCTTCCAATATATATAACAGCATATTAAAAACATTAAAAACTTCCCTATACAAGTCTGCCTTCAGATGTAATAATAATGGCGAGTACCATGCAGAGATAAAAGAAGCGCAAGAGTGAATGTATGAAGCTTCCCTCCATGTGATGTAAAGTCATAATAGGATGATCCTCTCACTGCACAGCAGCCAATTTCATTCAGTGGAGATCTTTCTAAAAACTACAAAACAGGGTGCGGCCAGAATAGGGGATTTATCAGGTACTTGGTGGACCAAAATGCATGGCTCATGCTGGTTGTGAGTCCTAGAAGACCTGCTCCCTGTCTTGTGGGCTTTTTTCAACCTGGTCTGAGAGGGCAGGACCTGGACTGACTCCAGCTGCAAAAGCAGAGGCCACTGAATGGAAGAAACCCCAAGGATCATCTAGTCCAACCTGTTGCTATGCAGGAATCTCAATGAAAGCGTTTGGGACAGATGACCATCCAACCTCTGCTTAAAAATCTTCAGTGAAGGAGAGTCCACCACCTTCTGAGGTTGTCCGTTCTACTGTCGAAGAGCTCTTACAGCCAGAAAGTTCTTCCTGATGTTTAGCTGGAATCTCATTTATTTTGCTATGCTTGTAATTATGTGCAGTATTTTTTTTTTTTCATGTTGTAAGCTGCCTTGCGCATAGTTTGAACTATGGAAAGGTGGCATACAAATAAAATTATGTTTGTATGCGTTGAATACCATCCAGATGTGGCATAAGTTTGATGAGCTGCTTATAAAATAGCAATTATGGGATTTGAAAAACATATTCATAGACTTTCCATCTGCTAGTTGTGGACTTTGCTGAGCGTCAAACAAGCCACACTGCTTGTACTTAGCAGTCAGATGGGCAGGGTATAAATAATAAAATAATTCTTCTTCTTCTTTCTTCTTCTTCTTCTTCTTCTTCTTCTTCTTCTTCTTCTTCTTCTTCTTCTTCTTCTTTTTCCTGCCATAATATTTAATAGAACTTTCTATTTGTCATAACACCAACACATTTCCCAGTTCTGTGCCCCTGTGGTAGTCACCAGTGGTATGGAACAGGAGGAGAGGATGCAGAATTTTGCACCACCAAGAGTGTTTGAGGCAAGTTATACTAAATATCCCCATCATCTCTTACCACTGGCTATATTGGCTGGGGCTGATGGGAGCTGAAGTTCAAAAACATATCAAGGGCCACAGAATGTCCCTCCCCCATTCTCAAAGCAGCTTGTTTGTGTGTGTGTGTGTGTGTGTGTGTGTGTGTAGAAATTCAGCTGTGTAAGAAGGTTTTTCTACACGCTTCCTCAGCTGTCGTTTCTATGCTTTATTTTTACATGTTTCTTTCTTATTTTAACTAATCAATGCACCTCTAAATGTTGGATAATGAGGCTGGCAGTACCTGAATGCAAAAGAAGGATTAGTTCAATTTGATTTTAATATCTATTATTTAAAGCCAATATGGGAGCTTCCAGGGATAATGAGAGTCGAACGATACTTTGTGTTCTGATTCATTACACCACAGCCTTTGTTATCCTGTATATTTTGTTTCAGTAATGTCAGCATTTGTTACTCTTGGCCAGTCCATTTCCAAATCCCTGCCAGATCATGCCACATTCGCTCGGTTCATTAAAATTATCTGCTGAAATTATTGATGAAGCTTTGTTTGTTCATATTCCTTACACAGGATGTGATTCCAAACAATTCCATCTCTCATATCAGCATACACAAAGAGGTTCCTTGTTTGTACAGCCTCTTTGTTCTTTGTCTTGTACTGCTTAATTAAGGACGTAATGGTGGTTATTATAGTCTTCATTTTTTTTTAGACTGGCTTGGAAGTAATGAGGTCTGAGGCAAAGAACTGAATGCTATTTAATTCAAATCAACTTACTTTTAAAAAGCCATTCACAAAAGGAGTTCATCCCTATGATGTTTGCTTCAGAAATGGTTTGTACCTACATTTTTCTCCTCTTATTTTACACTGGGTCCCACTTACCAAGTCGGAATTATAAAAAATATTGGGAGGGCAGGGAATCCCTCTACAAAAGGTAGGTTCCTGTTCTTTAGCCTAATGAAGAAAATCTAGTTTGTGATCAAATTAATGAAACATAATGTTGAAGAAATGTGATGCCACTTCTTTCAAATTTTGTCGCTGCTGGATGTTGGATCCTTTTAATATTGACTGTTCTAAGCGCATTTGTTTTAGAATTGTTTTGTGCAGTTTAGCTGAGCTTTATCTACAGTTTTATTTCTATGCTACTTAGAGAGCTCTTTGATCAATCAGTCTACGCAGCTTCCAAAATAAATCATATTTCACATGGCAAAATAGGATTTTAATGTCACCTTGGCAGTCTAATCAAAACGTATGCATTGAAATCAATAAGCAAATAAGGCAGGTGCAATATGCATACCTATTGTGGCCTCTTAGATTAAGCATCAAGGGGAAAACTTGTGGAAATGTGACACTTTCATTGCTTATCCTATAAATCACAGATGGCCTTAAAGTTGGCAGCTGTCTCTCCACTGCTGTCCCCCCCTCTTTCTATGAGAATTTGGTTGTAAGGAATTTATATCTCCACTCAACACCAAAAAACATATTACTGTGCTCATATAATTTACTGCTGGAGCATTGTGTGGAACGCTGATTGCAACAATGGATGTGTTGCATTGGACATCACATTCCTGGATGCAAATGCATCCCTGAAATGCTTACATGACTACATCAGAAGTGGGAGATCTTGTTCAGTCCAAGGCCTGTATTTCCTTTTGGGCAACCTTCCCAGGCTATATGTCAGAGGCAAAAAGTGGACAGGGACGAGGGACTTCTCACCTCTGTACAACAGCCTACATTCAGCCACAGGGATATAGGCTTCTATTGCCCTCCCCTCCAACAAACAGGCATCTGTCCATCATCCATCCTGGGAGGAGATATGATAGCCATCTTCAAATATCTCAAGGGCTGTCCCATGGAAGATGGAACAAGTTTGTTTTCCCCTGCTCTGGAGAATAGGACTTGAACCAATGGCTTCACGTTACAAGAAAGGAGATTCTGACTGAACATCAGGGAGAACTTTCCAACAGTAAGAGCTGTTGGACAGAGGAATGGTCTCCCTCAAGAGGTTGTGGACTCTCCTTCCTTGGAGGTTTTGAAGCAGAGGTTGGATGGCCATCTGTCATGGATGCTTTAGCTGAGATTCCTGCATTGCAGGCAGTTGGACTAGATGATCCAACT